TATAAAGTACCTTTTTTTTTAAACGCAGCAAGTGTCAAAATGATCTACTTTACGCAACCATAATGTTGAACATTATGAAACAGGTTACGAAAAGAAAACAAAGAAACCTTTTTGATTTTAAAATCAATACACAGAGTAACCCACCACATTCGCCTCGCTTTTTCTACGGAATATGAAAAGAGTTGGGTCCATGAGGAGCATATTCCAAAATTATTTTGAAATATACAGGGTGATCCAAAAGAAGGTACATATCAAAGTTATATTTTTTCTTATGGGACGCCCTATATTTTTTTATACTTTTAGATATTATAGACCAGATAAAGGTAAGTTACTGTTATATTTCCTATACCTAAAACTGACCGTTTCTGAGAAATTTTAAGAAATTTAAAATTGCAGACCATAATAATTTAAAAATTGTTTACACCCTGTAACATGTAACGAGCTGCTCGTAATTAAATTTACTGCTTAGTTGAAAGGTTAAAGTTAACTACCACATAAAAGTTGTACTTCAATATTACACAGAGTGGTAAAAAAATTGTCTCAAAGTTTGGACATACATTTTATTAAATAACTTCTTAAAGTTAAATGGTGACCTATTTTGACGCAGAATTAGATTCCCTTTAAAACTATATTAGGGTTCCCTATACCTATCTCTTCTGCTTTTTATATTTTACTTATGAATAACTTTATCTTAAAAATGGAACACACGGTATAGTAATTTTAAGCCTAAAAAGCATTTTGCAACTCATTTTATTGAAAAATTAAGGAACTTAAATAGTATTTTATTAAATAGTATTATTATTTTAATAAATGCTCAAAGTGGTGTCATTATTTTCGATGCATAAGAGAACTCTTTCTTGAAATGAGTGCTGAACTCTGGATAACATAGCTTGCGGTATGGAACGAAACGTTCTTCTTATACTGAGGTGTCGTTGGCGGTGTATTGTAAACAATATTTTTGATGTATCCCGTAAAAATAGTCGGGACTTGTTGGGTCCAGAGACCAGGCTGGCCATTTTTGTGGACCTCTTCGTCCTATTCTACTATTTAGATATTGTCGATCTAACTAGTTTCTAACACGTCTATCAAAGTGTGCAGGAGCACCATCTAGCTACATCCACATGCGTTGACGAATATTAGGAGGTATAGCAAGTATATGCAAATTGTCCCTAATAAATCCGAGAAACATGTCGCCGTTGTAAGTGACCATCAAAGAAGTATGAACCTACAATTCGCGTTATAATTATTCCACACCACACGTTAACATACCATCTGTGTTGGTGATCAAGGTTTCTAAAAATATTAGGATTTGCGTCATCACCAAACTTTTCTAAAATCCATAAACAAAAATTCAGTCATCGATCATAATCTTCTTCAAGAAGCTATTGGATTTGATACGGGTGAAATTTATGTTTTTTAATTATTCTTTGGATGATGCTATCTGCTTATTCCAGTTGCTTCATATATTTTTCGCTGACTTATATGAGGGTCTTCAACCAGAGATTCTATCACTAAATATTAATTTTCCTTATTTCCGGTAACCGGTTTTTGTCGTTCTTTTCCAATTAACGCTTATTAGGATGACGCCTGTTAGGATACCTTTGGGCATATACTCTTGATGCTAATAAACAGTTTTCTTGACACTCACTGATTACCAAAATCATATCAATTCGTTCTTCCTGGGGGTAAGTTCTCATTTTAACTAATTAAAATGTAATAGTCTTTTAAAACGATAATTTTAAACTACTTTAAACAATGATAATGGTTTGATTAACAAGTAGTGTCACTGTCAAATAATTTTTGTTTCAAAATAATAATTAACGTCATCTAGGCCAAAGCCTACTATTATTAGGAATATAGTAGGTTACATGTAGGTTAGGTATAGGAAATTGTAAATTTGATGACAGTCATATTGAAATATATGTTTTTCTACAAGCGTGCGAGAAGATGATCTTCTCGCACTCGAGTTCTTATTTCATAGAGTTAAAATAAAAAACATTACATACCCTATTTTATACAATTAGCAAAAAGGTAAATACATTTATCACATAAATTTTGTTCCGCGTACGTTCAAAATGCATATAACTATGAAAACAAGTCGAGAAATGACATTTACAAATAATGGGTTTCCCCGAAATATGATAAGTATAAAATGAGGTTGTGTTATCATTAAAAATTATTTTGAATTAGATAAAAATATAACATGTAATAATGCGTTTAGATATGTTAGAGCACGCATACCACTTGGTCGTCTTATTAAAGTAATATGGAGTGATCCACAAAAAATGTTTCTAAAGCAGGTTTTTAAAAAAATAGCACAGGTACTACTTATATTTTTTTTATGAAATTTAAAATTTTACGTAAATTCCACTAAAAACCCTTCAATTTCAATGTTCACCATAATGTAACTGTCCAATTAATTAACAATCAGCATCCAGATAGTGAATGAAAGGGGAGAACTGAAATTTATATAAAATAGTTTTATAGTATTAAATAGTTTGGGTATAAAGAGTAATTATTAAGTACCTATAATATTTTTAAAAGTAAGTTTGAAAGGTGTATCTCAAGCAGGTCACATCAATGTACTGCATACTTTTCTAGTTTGAAAAATTCGTTATGAAATAGTCCGTAGACACAGACTGTATCGTTGGCGTCGACAAGTTATTCGTAAACGGTTTTAGGGTTCTGACGCAATGGTAGCGGGATGATTGTTAGAGATAGTTTTAAAATGGATTTAAAAGATTAATAAAATTGAAAAGGTATAAAAGGAATTTAGTTAAAAATATTATTGAAAAAGGTCCAAGAGGAAGGAAAATTCAGAAAGCAAGAGACAGGACTTAGAGGAGACCAGGCAGGAGATTAAGAGATATAGACCAAGCAGGAGTTATAGCAGCAGGCAGGAGAATAGGATGTACAGGAAAGCAGGAATTGGAACAGGTGTTGGAGAGGTATAGAAGAAAGACGAGCGGAAGATTGTTTAAATGTAACATTTTTATTTCGATATTGCTTTTTTATTATTTTAGGAAGTCATTGGAGCCACAACCCTAGTGCTCTAGGATATTGGAATAGTTCTACCTTGTCCAGGGTGGAACAATTACAATATATTACGTAGAGTTACCAATGCCAAATAAGTTTTCATTTGTGATGTTTGATCTTAAATATATACACCCTTTTCTTTGTTGAACTTATTTATATGAAATGAAACTTTAAAAATTTATTCGTGAACAAATTCATGATTTTATCCGTCAATTTCTACATGAATAAATAGATAGGTGTAAAGCGCGATTAACTAACTCCTTTTATTCGAATTTGGACAAAATTAAGTAAGTAACAAGTATATTTAAGCGTACATTTAATGGCCAAATAAACAAAAATAACAAAACAAACGTGGCAAGCCATAGTAGTTGCCGGCCAACGTGCTTCAAATTTAGAAACATGTTGGTAAGTACGAAGATTATTCACGCCTATAAATAACTCGTTAACTTATAGGAAATAAAAGTTGCTAATGTTTTTTAGGATATAAATAAATATGTACAGGACAAAACTGCTTCTAATCTACATGGATCGATTCAGAGAAATCTAAAATTGCGATGTTTTTGGAAATGTTTATCGAGATTTTTTTTATATCGAGCATCCCACATTCGTAATCGAATAGAATTAAAATGTGTCTTCCATTTGTAATTTAATTTTTTTAACACATTGTTCGCCACGTGTTCCAAGAAAAATATAATATTGCTGGAGCTTATTGGAAAAATAAATGTATATAAAAATATATGTTACACGAGATCAAGTACGGAATACAATACTATTTTTCATTCAAATGTCTCAATATCTCGAGGTAAATTTTAAATACAACTTACCACTTTTACAGATAGTTATTTGTAGTGGATAGTGGACTGTATTTAATAGGTTATTTTATTTACTGTTAAAATGATTCAATTTAATTATATATTTTCAACAGATAAAATTTAACTGACCGTTAATTAAAGGTTTTAAAATGCGACATTGGCACATCGGAGATTTTTAAAAATGAAGAATACTAAAATTTCCTGATAAAATTTCATGAAATATCCATTGAATGAATTCCAACAATCAACTTTTATTGACAGACTTGTGGCATTTCCATGTGAAAACAATAAAAATGTAAAAGCGAAGAAAAGAATGCCTTACAACCAAGGCGTTTTTTAGAAACAAAAAATAATTCAAATACGAATTTTGATATAATATTGAAATCCAAGTGACACATCATTTGAAAGGTACTTTTGTTAACTATACAGACCTGTAAAGTTATTTAAAATTTTTGGATTAATTTTAAATAAATAGGATACAAAACTTTTTTTGGGAATATTAACATAAAAAATTATAAATTAACGAATCAATTGTACAAAATTATTTCTACCAATTAACAATTTCTCTTTCGTTCTTTGACAATTTCGTCAGCTTATCTAATGAAAGCTCTAAACTGTTTAGAGCTAAATCTTTTTTGAATTACAACTGAAGTAAATTTCTCTAATGATAAAATTTTTTATACAGGATTTTTTGCAAAATTTAAAATTATCTATCCAGTAATACAAAAGTGATTAAAATTATTCAAACTAATAAATAACTTAAAATCAGTCTTACCATAAATATTCTTTTTTTATTTTATGTCAAATTTTATTAAAAGTTTATATTTTATTTTTGGCTTCGTAAATTTTTGCAAAATAGTCTAGTTTAAATAAAAAAAAACTAACTAAAAATTGTGTGTAATTTTTACTTATGAAAATAATTATAGTAGAAAACTTTCAAAATTTCCCTTAATTTGTATAATGTTATCAACTTTTTCTGACTTCTCCATAACAAATCTAAATTACTCGGCATTCCTTGATTTTCCAGAAAATGGCTACCTACCACCCTGTTGAGAGCACCAAAATTTATCTGCGCGTAAACTTACATTTTGGGACAAACTATATTTACAATTTTAATTTGATTGGCGCAAACATTTCAAACAACACATTTACCTGCTGATAAAATAACTCCTGAGCTAAGAAATGTGTAATCTCTTTTTGATCTAAAAACTCCATTTCGCTAAAAATATCGCACCAAGAAAGAAAAAAATAACGGAAATTCGCAAAAAATATATATGTAATAACTCGTGGAAAATAAAAAAAACTTTACTCGCTTTTGTCGTCGTTAAAAGATCGATATGCCGGTTACCGATCGATCGGTATTTTCGTTCGTTCGTTAGAAACAAAAAAAATCGAAAAAAAAAACTTTTAAGCCGAGCACTACTTATCCGAGGCCCGACTCATCGAAAAATGAAAATCGCGCGCTGGGAAATTTTCATTCGTCGCCCACCGAACGGTTTAATTTAGACCAGAGGTGGCGCAGATCGCGAGAATTATTTTTAGCCTAAAGTACCAATAGTGCCATGCATTATACGCGAAATTATGTTTCTATTTGCCACTCGAACATATTATGGTGTTTTAATACGAGGGGACATTGATAGTAGCTTCAACTTAGATTCAAATAAAGTCCGGCGTATCTCAGGGATCGGTTCTGGAACCACTATTAGTTTTACTTTACAAATACACTCTTAACTGGTTGTAAGAATGTTTATTTAAATTGATGAGCCTAATAAATAATAACAGAGCCTGATTAAGACGTGTTAACCCTTTGTCCGTTGTATTTGATTCAAATATCGACCCTAATACCTATCCATTTCGATGCGCCAGAGGTACAAATATTGGGGCGGAGGTAAAGGTGCCACCAAATATACCTGACCAGAAAAGAGAACCGGTAAACGTACCATCGACCAAAACGGTTCTTTAAAAACAAATCGGTATTTGTGTCACTAAAAGTTGGGGTACTATTATGAAATGCAATAAATTTAATAAATAAATGAAGCACAAGTTTTGTTGGTGAATAATGCAATGCAGAATTATTAAATCACATTCTTGCATATTCATAGCGGTTGCTCTTTCCTTCAGAATTCCGATAAAACCTTTTCGTAAACCGACCAATGAAGGCGCACCATCCGTGCATACTCCAACTAATTTACACTACTGCAAACCATATTGCTCAAAAGTTCTTTGCACCTCAGCAAAAATATATTTTCCAGTAGTGGTCCCTTGTAGCGGCCGTAAAGCCAGTAATTCCTCTGTCACTGCAACTTCTTCATCAACACCTCGTATAAAATTAGCTAACTGGGCTATGTTAGATAAATCTGTACTCTTAAACAAAGCTATCGAAAATTCTTGAAAACCAGCTAATGTATCAATTTTGATATCACTATACCATCATATCTATACGTCGAACAAAAGTACGTCGCGATAAGCTTACTTTCTCAAACTCTTTCTTCTTTTCTGGGCACAAAAGTTCTGCAACGTCTACTAGGCACTCTTTAACAAACTGTCCTCAGAAAATTACTTCGATTTTATATTAAATAATTTTCACCTTCCAATACATTATTGCCTTTCCATTTAGGTGTGCCTGATGATGAAATATTCACTTCAAAATCGGTCACCAAATTGACTTTGTGAGAAATAAAGGACTTTTCTTTAATTTTTCGTACTCAATCCCAACCACTCAGATTTGGCACCCCCACCCCTAATAATATGTACTAATAGTCTAACCTTTTACATAACTTTGTTATTTATCGTAATAAAAAACACATTTATTTTAATCAGTATATTGTTAATTTAATCTAACTACTTAATATTTAATATAATTTACTTAAATAATTAAGTAACTCTGTTACTAAAATGTATTATTGAATCTTTAACTATTTGAATTTTGAATTGTTTATTATAACGTGCGTTAACAATTTCACTTATTATATTGTTTTGTATTGTTTTCTTCTAGACCTGATGATGGCCAATGTCCGAAACTAGTGGCCCTACACCCCACATAATAAATTATAATTTTTCTACTGTGGCATAGATTTTGAGTATCCCACCCTCCTTTACAAATTATAAAGTTTTGCGTATTTCAAAACGGCTGGTGGGATATCAACATCCAACATCCATTTCACGCTGAAAAGCTAGAGGTATTTCGTCTTACGAAATCAGGAAGTCAGTGTATCAAAAGACGACCCCTTAATATAAAAATAATTTACAGTATACCAAAAAACATTAAATAAAAATACAGTACATACACATCAGAATAATACAAGAAAAGAAGTGCTGTAGCATTTCAAAATTTTTTCGCTGCGTGCTGAGTAATAGTGCATAATAATGCAAATAATGCAAAAAGGACAATGATGCTGATAGGGGATCCGGTATACAAAAGGTTCTCATTCTTCTACTAAACTTCTAAAAAAGTTCTCTGCTTGTATATTTTTGTACAAGTCAGGTCCCTTTCAAAGAGTAAAACAGGACATATGCCGTAAAAAAGGACATTTTGCTTGAAAAAAATACTTTCCTTTTCAAAAAATGACAGGTAGTAACCCTACCATGTGGTGCAATATTGCAGTATGATTTCTGCGCGTTTACTGTCCAAAAATCTTATTCTTGTTGGACACGGACGACGACGCGACGCGGACAGTGAGACGTTTCGAAGTAGCTTTTCTACATATATGCGCAACCCGGTAAAATCGGTCAAGCATTTAGGATATTATACCTATATTATAAAGATATCGATTTAAAAATATTGAGAGATACTGGGAGGCAGACATTTTGAGGATTATGTGTTTTGTTATGTGAGAAATAAAAAAAAAATATGGATCTCAACAATAGCTCCACCCACCGGGTTCATCTATAGCTAAGAACAAACCAGGCGATCCTCCCATATGTACAAAAAAAAATCATCAAAATCGGTCAAGCCCTTTAGGAGGAGAATAATTACGAACACATACACCGGAATTTTATATACAGGGTGTACCAATAAAAACTCCCAGACCGGATATTTTGGTAAGAAATTCTGTAAAAGCCAATTCACAGAGCACTAAGAAAGCTTCAGTTTTAGATATAAATTGATTTTAAATAGGTAGATGGCGCTGCACTCAATATTTTTTTCGGTTGGAGGATCTTTCTTATGTAGCGCATCTTGTAAAAAATGCTTTTTTTCAGTAGATTTTGTTCTATAAACTAATTCGATAAATCTAGCCATTTTTGATATACAGAGTGGGCCACTCAAAACAGTTTCATCCTATTTTTTAGCATTAATCATTGAATTTTAAGAAAATGCTGAAACAGGTCGATTTTTATTGAACACATTTTTATAATGCAGACATCTGTCATGTGTCAACCCCCTTCCTTGCACTTCTCCAACCCCTTAATTTTAAATAGGTAATGTAACATGTGTATAGTTTGAAAATTATTTTAAACATTATTGCTAACTTTATTTTGTTGCAAGTGCAATATGGAGATATTTATATTATTATGTGGTGCATTGAATTAGTAATTAAATTAGTTTTCAAATGAAGTGTCGCGCTTTATAATACGTTACAGTTTTTTTATCCCGATAGAGGGCGCTAAAATTAAAAGTATCCCCTATAGAAATATCTTTTCAATGATGTGCCGTACATGGTACATTCCCTATTTAAAATTAAGGGGTTGGAGAAGTGGAAGGGAGGGGGTTGACACATGACAGATGTCTGTATTGTAAAATGTGTTTAATTTGGAATAAAACTCGACCTGTTTTAGCATTTTCTTAAAATATAATGAATAATGACAAATAACTGGGTGAATGGTGCACTCTGTATATCGAAAATGACTAGATTTATCAACTTGATGAAAGCGCTTGCAAAATAATGAAAAAATAAAATAAAATTCAGTGATTGTGTCTTTTTGATTCTTTGTACGTAATAATTTATTAATGGTATTGTGACTCACATGTTTTTAAAATAAAAGATTATAATTTCCCTGAGTGGTACATATATGTGTATCATAAAAAATGGTGGTAGAAATGTGTGCCATTTTCAAAAAACCTACATACGACTTGAAATATTCTTTAATACATAAAATGGTGATCTGTTAAAGGGTTAACAAGTAATAGGACGTGTTAAGAAGTATTAAGATGTGTTAAGAAGTATTAAGATGTGTTAACAAGTATTAAGACGTGTTATCAGTAACATTTTTTTCTTTTCGTCCAACTAATTCATGTACTCAAATCAAGTAAGTTTTCCATTTAGTTTGTATTGATATTCGCGCTGGCACGATCAACAATGAACAAGTTCTTTATCCTTCAGGTTTCTTATTTGTTATGTGTATAAATTTAATTGAAACAATATGTGACCTGCATATTTGCAATGTCGCATTGTACCTATTATGCTGTCTGGTTTATTTTACACAATCTTTTTTTTGTGAGTTAGTGCAAACATTTTTTCAGTAAGTTCTAATTAACATTTTATTTAACATAAAACAGTTCTAGCTATTATTGGTTCTTAGTTTCTTTTTATTTTCTACATTGGAAATTGCCTAAAAAGGTTGTATGTTGTACCTTGAATACTTTTTATTTTGTAAAAGTAGAGTGCGCCTAATATGGATCAGAGTAGGCGAGGTAAATAAATTTGTATCACAGTCTAGTGGTTCATGATTGCCATATTTTTTTTTGATAAACGATAATGTTTAACAAGAATTTTCAAATTGTAAATAATACGCAAATTTATTACATTAACTTGTCTAAGTTCAACTACAGTTTTTCCTTTCTTGAAATCATTAACCCCTTCTTGAAGATCGAAATAGGACCTTTCTAAAAAAAAAATGCTTACGCACATACAGCTATTGACATACACGAGGGGCTCTCAAAGAGTTACGTTTTTTAGCGCTTAGAAACTTTCAATGCATAAAGCATGGTACATAGAACATTTCTATGTGATAAACTGAATTTTTGAAAAAATAGCACTAAGGCCCTTTAGAATTTCTTAGGGTGAGTTATCGGTGTTGAATCATTTCTACAGAATTTAAATTTCTGAAATTTTCTTATAATTTACACACAATACATTCGTAAGAAAAACAAATTAGCTGATTGCAGGAAAATTAATTTGAATCTGCTAGCCTGTTCTGCAAAAGTCCCATGAGCTTAAGCCATAAAATAAAAACTTTAATTTTTTTCTTAATTTAAATTAGAATATTCTAAATATTCATATTATCATAAATTCTTCCTTTCATAGATATTTATTTCTGCACGTTTAAGTGGATCATTTACATTTTCCGCACCATATTACGTCATGTGCGAATTAGACGAGATTTCGCCGGCTAAGTATCATACCTCTATATTTTTTTGTATCACGCATAATAAAATGTG